TAAAGGATCTTAACCGCAAGAGAGTTGCTGGAGATGACTGGAAGTGCCCAACGGTAGATACCATATCGGAATGGTCCGTTAGAGTCTAAGCACATAGGCTTATTGACCACACTGGTAAGGTTTCCAGATAAGCATGGATATCCAACTGTGCTTGTCGGTGACACAAATTGGTAACAGACCTCTTCTTTGCAAGCCAGACTCAGATTGCAGTTCCCGGCTCTCATGCATTGCTGTCTTATGCAAGAAGCAACACGCTGTATTGCGAGAACATACCAACATCCCCCAGCGACCTGAAACCACCAGAATTTCCATAAACTTTAATTTCATATCTTAGGATGGTACTTAGTAGTATATACACATGGAAATTGATATCTTGCACTTGTTTTAGTGTACTGTTGCATGACATTATTTATATTCAGGCAGAAATACAATATCTAGCTTGAGAGGACTTACATGAGAAGCGATGAAATATGCGATGAGATTAAGAGCAAAACCCCACCAAATAGTCCCAAAGATGTAACCAGTGACCTTCTGCATCCTTCTCATCAAACAGATGCAGTGATAAATCTTGGGGAGGAACTGGAACAAGAATATTAGCAGAAGAATCGTCATTATCAGCTTAACCTTCTCTTCTCTTATCAGTTTCGGCACAACTAACCAAAACACAGCCTGCAAAACAATAAAACAAACAAAGATCACATCTGATCTGCATATCTCAAACCAGAATTCATCTACTGGTTAACACTTTTCAATGATCCATGGGGGCTTTCTTGATACTAATCAGTGGATTAGGGTCATTTTCATAATATTGGAATAGTTTGATGATTGTTTTGAAAAGTCGTCAGGGGTTAAAAAACCTGAGGCACAGGGAGGATGACGATAACATCAAACCAGAAGCCAGTGAGAGAGCGTGCGTAGTGAGACGCGATGGCGCGTGGATCCCAAACGAGCTTGCCACAACCAACGACAAGCGACTCCCTCGAGACGTAAGCCAATCTGAATTGAAGCCACACGTGCCAAAGATGAACAGCGTCGAGACACGTGCGGAGCACCGTTACCACCGCGGCGAACGCACCATCCATGTAAAGACACGCCGGTCCAGTGGTTCGGCCGATGGAAAGCGCATAGAAGAAGAGCGGATCTACAGCTAAAGCCATCCCACGAGCTAGAAGCAACGCGCGGTTCCATCTCTGCACGCGCTTACTCCTGGGATCGAGAACTTCTCCGAACGGACCTTTGAGACGTCGGAATCGGGTTCGGGCAGGGTTAGGGACGGATCCTTCCTGGATTGGAACTAAGGAAGAGCCGGCGGAGGCACGCCACTCCGGCGCGTGAGCTTGATCGCAGCTAGTTGAATGGAAAGCTGGGACGCCTACTTGTGTGCAGGCGTAACACTCGACGGAATTTAGCACCGGTGACTCATCGCTGCCGCTGCTGCTTTCCTCGATCCCAGTCGTTTGTCGACGGAATTTATCGGAAAACAGTCCAATCCACCTTAAAAATTCAAATTGTAAACACTAATTTAGAAGCAGGAATTAGCAATATATTGCAAACAAATCATTCACATTCGCTATACAGTACGCAATTTTGAAACTCGATTTCGTTCCTAGATTAACGATTTAGCATGCTCAAGCGAGTATAAGGAATTGCATGGTGATTTTGTTTGCTATAGAACAGTTCAAAAAACGGCTGAATTTTCCGGGAAAACGGTTTCTCGGGAAAAGCAGTCATTCTCGGGTAAAGAGCTTTAAACCTCTGAGTAAACTCAGCTAAAAAAATAAAATAAAAGACATGTTCAAAATTCGCGAGTGCTTTAGCGTGAAAGCACCATTAGTGAACGAATACACTTCTAGATATAAAAAAATTTGGGAATTGTATAGAAACCTGAAGATGAAGTTGGGGTGAGAGGGCATGATTGAAACAGAGGAACCACCATGGGAGACGGAGAGAAGATTTTGCAGGGAGTGATTGGAGAGAGAGAGAGAGATTTGTATAGAGGCAAAGGCGCAAGAGTTGTGTGTGATACGTACCTCTCTTGGTAGGATTCGGTTTAATTGTTAGGGGAGATTCCGGTTTAATAACTAAACCGAAGATCGATTAAATCTCGGAAATCGAACCGGGATTGACGAGGGGAGATGATGAGCTGTCAAGTCGGAGAGCTGGTGGTCTGGTGGCTAAGCAAAACGGCCCACGAATAGACATTGAACAAATTGGATTCCGTACAGATCATGAGGATTGCTACGTTAGGGGCCTAATATGGACCCATCCTTTTAAATCTTATTTCTTTCCGTTTAATCATTGAACTTTTAGATAACTTTACAAATTTTACTTGCTATTTTATTTTTAGGACAAATTTCATAATTCTAAATTTATTATAGAAGGTATTTTTAATGTATGTGTAAGAAGATTATAGACTTATTACATATGTACTAACTAAAAATTGCAGATTTAAAATAAAGTGCTTTATGCAAGGAAGACGATGAAAATAAAACTTAGTACATAAAACCGTACATACAGTTATACAAATTAAAATTAGAAAACTACATTTTGGTTTTCTTAAGATATAATTCAAATAAAACATCACAATCACAAGTATCTCATTAATCTTTTTCTCTTTTACGTCTTAATTTACGTAGTATCATTAATCATTTAATCTCCGTAAGCATATTGATGTTTTATATTCAGATTTGATATTATTCACTAATTCTGCAAATAATATTTATTCATGATATTGATTTTTTTTGTCTTTGTCATTAATAATTATTGATAGAATTTGACTTAAATTATTGATATACGTAGTGTGTTTTTTGTCGTCAGTTGATAGTTGATATATGTGCTTTATTACGGATTGAATACATGTGGACGTAAGCCATATAACAACCGAGACATACGACGAAGGTCACGAAGCCTAATCTCGTAATTAGGCAGGCATTTGTTGGTTGCAGTCTGCATATACTCCAGTTAATACTATAATGTTTTTAGCAGCATAACTGTCATTCTTTCAATTTTCAATAATATTTAAACTTTTTACAACAAAAATACTTACTTAATCACATAGTTGTTTCTTAGTTTACTAGTACTATATAAATATAATTAAATGCACCTTTGTGGTTTTAGTACACACGTACCTGACAGTGAAGTTTCCAAAAATTTGACAGTCATACAAATCCATATCATGCATTAATAATTCGAGTCACCACCAAATATCAGCGGACCACACATTTGTATCGAAGTCGAACACAATTTTTTTTTTTTTGGGTTGGATAAAATTTTAAATACGAAAGGAATTATTGGAATAAAGAAATATGAATACTGAATCATTTTGTTCAAAGTCATTCTTATATTGCATGTAGTGAAGGACTTTATAAAAATAAAATAAAAATTACGTTTTCTACTCCAAATGGTGAATATGGAGAGGAACGCATGATAAAATACATACTTTTTATATAAAAAAAAATAGCGAAATTTTGGAATATTATTTTATGTACTTATCGAGCAAAGTGGAAAAGACATAAAGCCCATGTGCAATAATTCTGTTTTTGTTCTCTCGTGTCCATGTATGCAAATTGCAAAGGAGGCGAAGAAGAAAAACCGTAGGGACCAAAGCTGCACAAAATGGCAAATAAAACGTGACATTGATTTTGTATCTGGTTGGTCGACATTCCTTCGATAGACTCTTAATTACCAATAAATAGAAAACCGATGAAATACCGATTTTAACCTTAGATGTTGCACCAAAAAATAATAAAAAATACCTTGGCTTTGAACACGACATTTCTTTTGTTTTCGAGTTCGACACGCCAAGAAGATCTTAGGCTTATGTGGAACCAGCTCAACTAGTGTATTTTCACCCATAAATGTTTTTACTTATATATATATATATATATTATTTCTGAGAATATTCGATTTTTGTTATTATTCAAATTTTTAGATTCTCGGATTGTAAAATACCAAACCAGTTCAAATCGATTAGTGTTTGGTTCAGGTTTTCACCTCTTTTTTTGGTTGGTTGGAGTTTCGTTTTTTGCACGATTAGATTACTTTGGCAAAATTAAAAATCTAATAATGAACTGATTTACAAGGCGATCTGATTTTTAATTATTATTATCCAAGTTGTTTAAGTCTAAATTAAGGCAATGTACATTCCTCGTTTTCGTAGATGTTTATCCCCGTTTCATATAGAGTTTGAGTCTCTTCTTTGGGCAATGAGATCTCTTATTTCACTTTCTGTATTTGACGTTGCTTTTCAGACAGAATACATGGAGTTACCTCAGGTTTTAGGTACTCCTGATGAGTGGCCTGCTTTTTCGTTAGAGTTAGAAGATTTTAGCTTTTTGAAGTCATTTTTTTTAGGTTATCTTTTATTCCACATCGTAACAATATCCATGTTGACCGCCTTGCAAAGAAGGCATGAACACGTGGTTCTATTTTTTTCCATGTGAACTCTGTAACTCTGCACTGGTTTTCTCTAAAAGAAAATCGTTCGATTTTAGTTTGAAAGGATGAACTATTTTTGCTGTAAAAAAAAAGTCTAAATCAAGGCAATGTACATTCATGATTGTTGTGTAACTAACTAATAATTACTTAAGAACTATTGTTTCTATTTTCTACTGTTCTGTTTTAATACTTAAAAACAAAAGTCTAGTCAATCCAACATATAATTTTGGAAGTTACAATTAAACACATACATGTCCCGTTGGCAGAAATAATGTGAAGGGCCACGCAAGCCTACTAAATCTGGCCCATTAAAAATTAGGTGGTCACACCAGCTAGACATTTTACACGTGTCAGAGTAGTTTTTAGTTAAATTATCTCTCATTCGAAAAATTTTAACAAAAAGAAAAATAGAAAATAAAAGGATTTATCCAAATAAAAAGGAAAACGAATAAAACCTTTCCTAAGAAATCTGCGCAAAATGTGGAGAAATCCACAAAACCAAAAACCCAAAAACGAACGAAACAGATTTCTTCTCTCTTTGGTATCAAAACAGAAACCTCAGAGAAACAATGAATGGCGTCTCCTGCATAAACCAAAAGGTTAGCTTTATCTTCATTTACGTCGAATGCTTGTAGAGCCCTTTTTGTCCAATTTAACAGAGAAAATGATTTGGGTTTATCTTGAAACGAATAGACATTCAAAGTTTCATGATTTGGTAAATAAAGCTAAGCAAATGATATGATGATGGCTGATTAATGTGCAACATATTCGTAATTAGCTACAATGGTTTTTTCTCAGGTCAAGGATCTTCTCTAGCATAAATGTGTGAATTAAGAACATCAAAAGGTTAGAGTTTTATGATTCCTGAATCAAGCATTCTCTTATTTTCTTTGTTCTTCAAACATTTGTAGTTAAAGAAGTTATTCTTGAATCTCTCTCTAGCTGATTAATGGCTGAGGAGACCGTACGTTTGCCTAATTCACCGGATGTAAACAGATCATGGAGAAGGATTTCTACTGGAAAACTGAGTTTTTTATACACTGAAGAGAAAGTTCTTCCTAATTATCTCAGATCTCCTACTGGTTCTTGTCATGATGCTTGCAAATATGGAAGGAAACATGAATCTGAAGACAAGCCAAGAGTTCCACATCGGAAAAGGGCTAACAGAAGCTTTTCTGGAACTATGAATTTGGATTCACCATTGAGGAAGAAGGCATTGACCAAACCGGTGTTGAATCCTTCTTTTGGTTCTGGCAAATATGATTCTGTTGGTGGCTTTGCTGATCATGCGATTAGAAACTTTTCTAGTGGAGTTTGTGATGTTAAGAAGAATCATGCAGATAGAACAAATGAAAAGGTAGTGCCTTTTTCTGAATCTCAGTTAGCTGATTCGACTAAGCGAAAGAAGAAGAAGAAGAAGACGGTCTATGTGTCTCGCGGAAGAGCTAAAGAGATTGTTGAACATAACAGGCGTGTCACTGCTTTGAAGCTGAAATCTGTTGCACAAACTGCAGCGATAGCTCTTCGACGAAGTACTGTGAAGAGAAAGAAGATGAATGGCGGAGCAGAACCAAAGAAGGCAGTTACGCCTTTAAGAAGAGCCTCAATGTCCTCAAAACGCTGTTCTCGATGCTTGAAGAGAAAGAAGGAGAGTAATAGCTTGAGTGTTCCTCTAATGAAAACCAGGAAACATGTGGGTGTGAAGTGTAAAGACTTGGTTGAAGAGAAAACTCTCTATGTTATTAAGATGGAAAAAGGGGATGAGATTGTTGAATCTGAAAAGAACCAGAGGTGTGTCATGGATTCACCTACTGATGATCCAAAAAGCGAAAAGAACCAAGACGAAGCTGAGTGTCTTGAGACTGAACCTGATGATGAATCTTCTCAAGAAGAGGAAGAAGAAGAAGATGAGAATGTGTCTTTCTCTGAAGATAAGAGCACAACAATGGAAGGAAAAAGCAAAGCCCTCGTAAATGGCAATTCGACGAAACTGAGAATCAAAAGAGGAAAGATTATAGATTTTGGATTACAAGGAAACAGTCCAAGAAAGCTCAAGTTCAAGAGAGGAAAAGTCGTCACAGGAACTGACACAACCTCGAAATCCGGTGGTAAGAGACGCTTAAAGACCAAAGGAACCAACTTTAGCAACGACAAGGAACAACAACGCAAACCCAGAGTGGTTTTGAAACACCAAGACACACAGAAGAAGAGAGAAGCAAGAGTGTTGCTGTTCAACAAAGTTATTAAGGAAACAGCTAATAAGCTTGTGCAGACTCGCAAGAGCAAAGTTAAGGCTTTAGTGGGTGCTTTTGAGTCTGTCATATCTCTCCAAGAAAAGACTTCTTCTGCAACAATATAAACACATAAAAATGATTATAACCAGAAGAATCTCTAACTAAATAATCTTTTATTTTTTCTTTCACTTGTGTTTATGTATGTATGTAAAGATATGTAGAGTTTGTAAGAGTGCAATGACTCGCATAAGATTCTACAATTTGTGGGAGTTATTATGTGTAATCGAATGTCTAACTGTTGTCTTTCCAAGACTTGTGAATTGTGTGATTTGGATACATAAAAGAATAAGAAGGTTATGTTTTAAGCTTTTGTAAACTATGGTTACAATCTGTGAGTACCATTAAAAAGTAGGGGCTACAAAAGAAATATAAAACCAGACCCCACGCTCACGCCGTCCTTTAATTGCCATTGACTATTCAGATTCTTTAGCTAACGTGTCATATCTATATTGGTTATTGTCGTGTACTTCTGTCACAGACAGTCACTCTACCATTCCAGGACTTAAATTAATTTTCCTATTCTTCTCTGCTACATGGAGTAAAAAAAATTAAAGCTTTGAGATTTCTTTCCTTATCGATTTTTTTCTCTCTGCGAATTGTTCGTTGTTTTCTTCTGCCACCTGATTCTCATCTTCTTTGTTCTGGAAGAATCTGGGTTTTGTTTCGGAGTTTTCGAGGTTCCTCATTCGTTGCTTCCGTTGAAATTTTTTTTGTTTACTTTGTTTTTTTTGTTGCTTTCAACCTTTTAAATGCCCTAATTTTCAGGTTCTAGTTGTGGTTTCTAGGATTAGGATCAGAAGCCCTTTCTAGTAAACTTCATGGTAGCTGCAATTTGTTGAAGTATTCACAGCTTTGTTCTGGTAAAGTTCTTCTCTTTACTCTTTTTAAGATCTTTGTGTGTTCCGGTTTGTGGCTTTTTTCTGTGCGTGATGTTTAGAAATGGGTTTTCAGGAGAAGAATTTAGGGTTCGGATTCACTGGATTTTCAATTAGAGTGTTGTTCTTGATGTCGTTTTATAGATCTGAGTTACATTGTTGGGTGTTGCCTTTGAAGGTCTTGGGCTTGTTTTGTCTTCATTTTTTATTGATTTTAGATAATGGTGATGGAAAACTCATGTCTTGGAATATTGATTTCAGAGTCAGTCCCTGCGTTTTGCTTGATATGAAGTAATGTGAAGAGATCATCTAATCAATCTGAAGTTTCTCTTTTTTCTCTTAGCATCATTTTCCGATGATAAGAGACTTCATAGTAGTGATTGAGACTGTGTGGTTTGTAAATGTGTGTAAAGGATACTTTTTGTGTTAATTTCGGTGCGTCTTATTGATTGTTTCGCCATCCATCTTGCTTTGCTCAATTCTTCTTTTCCCACAAGCTCTCTCTGTTTCATTTTCTCTGTATGTTTTGGTTGTTATGGGGCCTTGTCTTGAATTTGGTTTAGTGGGTTGTCTCAGTTCCTGTGGAGTCTGTATGATGCGTGATGCTTATTATGTCTATGCCCAATAGTTCCGTGAATTTAGAAACTGTTTGCTCTGAATCTCAAGTGTATTTGGAGTATTAGGGAAATGATGAATCTCAATTTCTCTCTTTGCAGTTGGAAGCTCTATGTGTTTCCTTCTCTGATTGAAACGCAGAGAGAATGATTTTACCAAAGCAGTATCGTTGCACACACTCCCCGAGCTGCCAATGCACGAAAGGCCATTTAAACGAAGACGTGTTGTTATTAGTGTTCCAGCATTTGAATTGGAATCCGAAATTAGTTGCAACATTTTCCTGTGTATGCAGATGGTTTGATGATTTCGCCAAACGGGTACTATGGAAAGAGTTTTGCAAGACTCGTGCCCCAAAAATGATGCTTGATTTGCAATCTAGCGGTAGTCACTGCATTGACGGTAACTGGCGAGCCCTTGGGAAGCTACTTATCTACTGCTCAGGATGTACACAAGGTGGTCTTTTCAATAGCTCTGTTCAAATCCCAGGCCACTTTGTTTATAGAACCCGGTTCTCAAGAACCTTAGGAAAAAGCCTCCTTCCACCTCAGTGTAGAACCGATGTACTCTATGTTTGCGATCCATGTGAGCATCTTGACCAAGGAGAAGAAGGGGACGTGGGTTTGTTCCGTGGGATTTTCAAGTCATTCCCAACATCTAAAGTCCGGAAAGTGATCATTAACAAGGCAGTTCCTTTTCATCCATCCGAGGTTTGCCCGTATTGTAAAGCTAGGCTATGGAGCATGCTACAAGCGAAGATAATACCTCAGAGTGCCTGCATTCGTTTGGAAGCTTATGAAGACTGCATTGAGTATTTTGTTTGCCTTAACGGACATTTGCTCGGTATCTGCACTCTCGCGCCTTTGTCTGATTCGGAGGATGCTATTCCAAGCGAAGATAGCAATCACATAGAGAAGAAACAAGGTATTTTTATCTTTCCGGTAAATTAGACAGCTTTTTTTGTCTAACAGCAAAGTTCTTACTTGTTTTTTCTTTTCGTCTTTTGCAGACAATTTCCTTCCTAAAGAGAACATATTGAAAAGGAGAAATTCTTTGTTGGGTGGAAGTGAAAATGGACCTCCGCCTCAAAAACGATTGACCAATCCAAATCAATGTAACATTGATGTGTGAAACATCTGTAAATTTGTGTACTTCTGCTAAATCTATTGCATCTGCAGAGATTCTTCAACATTCATATACAGTCAAATTATGATCAACAATTTCCATAATCTCTGGACCTTTGAGACGTCAGTACAATGACTCATCAGCTTATGATTTATATAAACTCACATTGAGATAAATATTATCAGTGCCTTTTGTGACAAGTAACTCACTAGAAGTTCTGTACTAAAAAGTCTGAAACTTATTGGACTCCAAAGGGTTTCATTTTTCAACTGCTCTGTTTTGAGAAAGCTTCTTCTTGTTCAGCATCTGCTGTTTCTGACTCGATCTTCTGGAATGTGAGCTTCTGCTGAGGTAACTGGCCATTGGAGAACGCTGTGACCTCGGTATCGATCAAAATGCTATCCTCGTCCTTGAAATCTCCTCTCAAGATACCTTTAGCGAGCTCATTCTCAATGTTTTGCTGTATTACACGTTTAACAGGTCTAGCTCCATAGTTTGGATCATACCCTAGGCTTCCGAGAAGATCGACTGCTGCATCTGTGATGTTTATCTTCATTTTCCTGTCTGCAATTCGCTTCTGCACACGTGCCAGCTGTAGGAAAGAAAGATTTAATGAGGGTTTTGGATAACATTTCTCTGTATTGCCATGGACATTCTATTTTGTGAAGAGATGGCCAAGAAGTAATCTTTCGAATGCAATTAGAATCAGAGTATGTCAATCGGTTAAATTGAAGAGTAGATTGGACTAGATGTTAAACTATTCACCAACAAGCATTTTAAATGGAAATTTTCCAATCTAACTATCCAATTGCCTCCAGAAGCTAACCCTTTGGATATCAGACTATTAATGTCATCAGCATAATCAATTTTGCGATTTTCTAAGAAAAGAAAGCATACCTGTAACCGAACAATGCGGTTGATCTGCTCGCGGTCAAGAGGTTGGAAAACTATATACTCATCAACCCTATTCATGAATTCAGGACGAAAGATTGATCTTGCAGCATTCATCACTCTCTCTTTAATCGTTTCATAAGCGAGCTCATTAGCATCATCATCTGTGTTGTTCAGAATAAACTGCGAACCAACATTTGAAGTCATAATAATGACGGTATTGGTGAAACTCACAGTACGTCCTTGAGAATCTGTGACTCGCCCATCGTCCAAGATTTGGAGAAACACATTGAAGACATCTCCATGAGCTTTCTCAATCTCATCAAAGAGGATGACCGAGTAAGGCCTTCTTCTAACCGTTTCTGTTAACTGTCCTCCTTCTTCGTAACCAACATATCCAGGTGGAGCTCCAATGAGCCTAGAGACAGCATGCTTCTCCATGTACTCACTCATGTCAATTCTGACTAAAGCTTCTTCTGTGTTGAACATATAAGAAGCCAGTGCTTTGGCTAGCTCTGTTTTACCCACACCGGTTGGTCCCATAAACATGAAACTAGCTATTGGACGGCCTGGATCCGAAAGACCAGCCCTTGATCGTTGGATTGCTTCAGCTACCGCAGTCACTGCTGGGTTTTGACCGACTACCCTTTTATGCAATTCTTCTTCCAAATGTAGAAGTTTATCTCTTTCAGACTGTTGAAGCTTCGATACCGGGATTCCAGTCCATTTACTCACAATCTCGGCGATATCGCTACCCAAAACCTCTTCTCTGAACATAGATTTCCCGGAGCTTAAGTACTCGTTCAGCTCTTTCTCTGCTTCATTAAGCTGTCGCTGCAATGAGTTTAAGCTTCCGTATTTGAGCTCAGCTGCACGGTTAAGATCGTATTCACGTTCCGCCTGCTGGATCTCGACGTTTACTCGATCAATCTCCTCTTTAATCGACTGAAGACGGGACATAACAGACCTCTCGTGCTCCCACTGTTCGGTTAATTCAGCTTGCCTCTCCTTTAATAACACTAACTCTGTTTCAATTCGATTCAATCTCTCTCTAGAAGCTTTGTCTGTATCATTGGTGAGTGAAAGCCTCTCCATTTCAAGCTTTATCACCGAACGGTCAAGCTCGTCAAGAGCTGTCGGTTTCGAAGTGATTTCCATTTTCAATTTGGCTGCCGCTTCATCGACCAAGTCAATTGCTAGAAAACCAATAACCAAATCAGTTAGTAACACTGTCTATTAATGAAGATAATATGATAAAATGGGAATAGCAAGGTATCAACCTTTATCGGGTAGAAACCGGCCACTGATGTAACGGTCCGAGAGGATAGCAGCTTCCACTAGAGCACTATCTGAGATGCGAACTCCATGATGAAGTTCATACCTTTCCCGCAAACCACGGAGAATCGAAATTGTGTCTTCAACCGTAGGTTGATCGACATAAACCTGTTGAAACCTACGTTCCAAGGCTGGATCTTTCTCTATGTATTTCCTATATTCATCAAGCGTTGTTGCACCGATACAACGTAGCTCGCCTCGACCCAGCATTGGTTTCAGCAGATTACCAGCATCCATGGCCCCATTAGTCGCACCTGAAAGCAGAAGAGTCAATCACAAACCATTGCAAGAAAAAGTATAAACCGTTTCCAAACAATCAAAGGATTTTGCATACCTGCACCAACAACTGTGTGGATCTCATCTATGAACAAAATGATTTGGCCTTCTGAGTCTGTGACTTCCTTAAGTACAGCCTTTAGTCTATCTTCGAATTCTCCCCGATACTTTGCTCCAGCAATGAGAGCACCCATATCAAGAGATATCAACTGAAAAGAAAAGAAACCAAAGAACGGTTGAATCAGTTGTTGTCCAAATTGTTAAAAACCGAAAAGAAACAGTTTGATAAGTAGTTGAATACCTTTCTGTTCATCAATGCTTGAGGTACATCTCCTTGCACAATCCTCTGAGCAAGTCTGATTCAAAAGTGGAGATGTAATATCTTAGCATAACATAAACATATTATGTGACATATAGGCAACTTCTGAAATTTAGAGTTTTGATGATAACTTACCCTTCTGAAATTGCGGTTTTACCGACACCTGGTTCACCAATCAACACGGGGTTGTTCTTCGTTCTCCTTGAGAGAATCTGAATGCATCTACGGATCTCGTCATCTCTACCAATGACAGGATCGAGTTTTCCTTCTCTTGCCATTGCTGTCAAATCTTTTCCATACTTCTCCAATGCCTCATACTTGCCTTCCGGATCTGTCAAACATGACCATTAACTCTCTTATCCACTAAATTATGCAATCGAATTTTAAACTATCAACCTAAAATGTTGTTACTAACCTTGGTCAATGACTGATTGTTTCCCTCTAATGGATTCAATTGCGGATTTCAAGGTCTTCTCTGATATCTGAAAATCCTTCAACAACTGTTTCCCAAACCGCTTATCATCAGCAAAAGCAAGAACCAAATGTTCAACTGACACATAAGAGTCTCCTAAATCTTTCTTAAACTGTCTTGCTCTCTGGAACAGAGCTTCCAAATCACGCCCCAACATCGAACCAGCAGCATCTCCATACACCTGAAATCACAAAATCTTTTCATTAGCCTTCAAACAATACAAAACAAAATTTTAAACACTTAAAGACATCCAATTACCTTTGGCTGGCGTTGAATGAACTTCTCAGTTGCTTCTAGAACCTTAGTGTTATCCACACCGATCTTAGAGAAAATCCTGCGAGCTAAACCATTCTTCTGCTCCAAAAGAGCTTTCATTAGATGCTCTGTCTCCACAATCTGTTGCTTATTCTCTTTCGCAACATCTGGTGAGGATACTATCGATTGCCACGCCATTTCTGTGAATTCTTGCTGTGTAAGCTATACAAACATCAAACCCAGATTAGCAATCCAATACAGCAAAAATCCTTTTGAGTGTCAATCCAATGATTACTCAAAAATAGACTACAAATAAAACCTAAAGTTTCAGACTTTACCCTTCCATTAGAAGAAGAAGCTTCACATCGGACAATGAATGGTCGATGCTCAAGCCGCCGTGTGAGCCTCGCGCCCTGCTTGAATTTCAGAGCTTTGAAGGAATTGGGCTTCGCCGGAAAGGCCACAGAGGGTTGAAGATGAGAAAAAGTAGAAATCCTTCGAGTCTCCGTTCCTACGCTGACTACACCACTAAACGCCGCCGTAGCAGTCGTCGTAGCCGTCGCCATTAGCTCGGAGATTTAAAACAGTAAGCAGTTGATTTAGGAAGATAAAATACAACAAGGAGTTTAGCACAAATTCGCCAAAACGGCGAGATGTTTACTTAAGAAATCGGCAAAGGTAACGCTTTTGGTTTCTCCTTTCTCGTGTAAGTAAGTTTAGCGAGAACCAAGAGAAAAGGTGAAGTAGAAATAATAAAGAAGAAGAAGAAGTTGCTAAACGACGCCGGAGTCTTCGTGAACCCTCGAGATGAGGTGCGGAACTACATGTACTTAGTTAGACCTTCTTCTGACACGTGTTCCCTCCAGAAATTATAGGATTTTTCGAAGTAGAATTACAGAATTAATATGAGCCGTCAAAAAATATAGCAGAAATAATTATTAATATATAGTTTCCCAAAATTTGGACCGTTGATAACGAGATCGGCCGACTACGCCTGTTAACATAAACCAACCACGCAGTATGTTTAGTTATTATTTCGTGATGGTTCACTTATTCCGTGCAAGTTTGTTTTGTTGCCTAATAATTCCACGGTATTGCGAATCAGAATTACATTAGAAACCAAACCTCAAGCGATCAAAAAGCCAATCATGTCATGTCACAAAAAAGATTACAAGAAAATTATAAAAAAAAAAAAAAAAGGTAATGAAGAAGGCTCAAGAATAGAATGTGAATCTCCCAAGCTTTTTTTTTTAACTCTACTTGTCTTGCACATTTGTTAACACCGAGCTCCAAAACATAAGCAGACACATTTGTTCTGTTTCAGATCACCTTTTGCCTTCTTCTTCTTCTTTTCTGTTAGCATAGCAAAACAAAGATCTTCAGATTCTCATACAAATACTACATAACCTTAATAGATGAGATTTTTCAAACAGTAAGAACAATGCTTCAAATTCTCGAAGTTTTTATGAAGAACCTAAAGATTACCTTTTTCAGTAACCTGATGTTGAATTATAACATGCATTGTTGTGACAGCACCTGAGAAATTGCCTACAGGACTCCTGCAATCTCCAACAGTCTTGTTGTTCTCCAATATTCTACCTGCGCTTATCAACTTCACATCTTTCACTGTCTTTGGCCCATTCTCTTTATCTGCTCAAAATAATACAAAACAAACAAAACCATAAACGCAAATCAATTTCACATATTTCATCGTCTTTGGCCCCATTCTCCTTATCTGCTCAAAAAATTATACAACCAAGTAAAACCATAACACCAATGAGTCACAATCAGTATTAAAGCAGGTTTTGATATTATCACAGAAATCGGCGAAAAAGCAATGTTAAATGCAAAAACCAGCATCTATCTCATGGAGAAGCGAGAAGGCGTTCTTGTTAATCCTAGTGCAGGACTAATGTAAACTAGCCTAGGGGTGATACAGGGAAGTGTAGCTTTGCCAGCTCAGCAACAGACCTCATCGGTTAGTTGAGAGCTGAAGGTTGAAGAAGCTAGAGCATTCAGGATTGGTCTAGATAATTTGGGGGACACTGGGGAGAATGAAGAGTTCTAAAGAAATTACTCTCTCATTTGTTCTAATTCTGTTTCAACCTCTAATTAGATTTGGTCATTGATTCTTCTTGTAACCAGTGTTTTAAGGATCAATAAAGAGGGCAATGAGTTTCTGAACCTATCAAAAGGCTTAAATATGAAAGCTTCTTTGCAATGCAATTCTAAAGTCTTAACCATTCTGGTCATGAAGCAAATCGCTGCATAAGATGAATCTCATACAAGTGAAGCAGGGTAAAAGAATACAAACTGACCTCTTGGCCACTGAGCAACAACAGTTTCTTTCAATGTAGCAACGGTAGTAGCATCAGGAAACGATTTAGGACCGATATCTGAACCATCATTGAGCCGGAACTTGATCTCTAATTGATCCTTCACCTCTGCCATATATCTCTCTTAACCAATGACTTAAAACCAGACTAAGTATCAAGAAGTTCCACAGAAGCAAGCGAGATTCGAACTTTAAAAAAAACTCAATATTGAAACCTCGTTTAATTGATCCTATCTGCAATAATCAAAAACAAGGAACAATTGTTTCACACAAGAACAAATTTCAAGCAGCTAAGAAAAATTGTGAAAGCTGATGAAACATATATGGATTAATAGATGATCTTGAATGAATATAAAAGCATAGATTAAATAATATATTTTTCTCAAAAAAGAAGAATCGCAAAGATATGATCGATCATGAATCGTATATATCTCCAAAAGGGTATCCATTAACAATACAAGTACGTCAATAGAGCTCAATCTGGGTATTAGATTAAGGGATCGAACACGAACAAAAAGAAACCCTAATTTGGTGGTCTTACTTGGGTCCGCTACTGATCTGAGTTTGATGATGAATCAGAGAAGGATCTTCGAAACCTCACATCACAGACTCGACCAGAGGAGAGAAAAAGGAGAGAGAAGAGATCTCTGACTCAGAAGATTTGAGCCAAATGTTCCAATTCCTTTTTATGTCATTCTTCTTCTTCTTCCCATCTCTACGCCAATTAAAATGCTCTACCTTTTAAATTCCTTTTCTTTTTTTAATTAAATGCTCACTGTACATTTGACATGATCTTATTTTTTAATCCACAAAATATCATATTTTTTATTTGTACATTCATCAACTTTGGCTAAAATGATCTTTTTGTGGAGATTGTTGTATTCAAAATCACAGCTCGATATGTTTTGTGAAGCTGAGAGAGAAAGAAGTTACATTTCTAAAAGAGAAATTAGGAACCGAAACGATGATATTAATAAGAAATGTAGAGCAAAAGTAAGTGTATAATTGTGTTCTTCAATTTATCAACAACTGGCTTTTCTTCTGGTCATGACCCCTCTATCTCTCTCTCTCTCTTAATAACCAAAAAATACAAAATAAACCCAATCTTTCCCCATTCTTATAAAAAGATTCAAGAATTAGATTTCTCCAAAAGAATTTCAAAAAAAGGGTACCTTCTATTTTACAGAAAGAATGAATCTTTATCTCTCTCCCTCTCTCTCTTTCTCTTATGCAGCTTTCCCCTTCGCTGCAACAAAGTTTCTTATGTATGTGGCAAACTAAATTTCTGATTCTTCCTTCTTTACACTGAGTATTATCGGCAGTGCCTTGTCTTTATCTCTGCTTTTTTCTTACTACTTCCTCTGTCTTTTACACCTGTAATAGTACCTTCTAGTTTCCTACTCCAATATGTGACAGTTCTTGATGAAATCATTTGAGTAGTTGACGTATTTTGTCCAGAATGGCCTCAGATGCTCGAAACCAATCTCCAGCCATGGCTTTGATTGCCCATTGTAGTGGATCACTGCTGCTTTCTTCACATTTTCTATGTTGGTCTTGCTCTGATACCCTAATCCAAGCATATGCCATGACGAGTCTATTATGTGGACGTGACCCTTGAACGCTATTAGAGCAGGAGGCAAGGTTCCAAGCTTCCACATTGTCAGATTCGACTTTAGATTCTGTTCCAAAGCAAAAGTAAACAGAGTAGGTTAGTGAGGTAACTTGAGATTCTGCTAAAGAGAAACAAAAGAGTGTAAGCTTCTTGGATAGTTACCTCTCTAAGCCAAGAGTGATACGTTTCTCTGATATTTGTCTTCCTCCAAGCTTGTAGATCGAAGACATTCATACCATATGCCCAAGCACATTCTTCAGGATCTAAATGCTTTGCAATGAGCGGATGAGAGAAATTGAAGTAGTTCCTTAAACGCTTTGACATCACCCATTCATCTTCACCCCTGCAAGTCTCTACTGCTCCATTGACCTTACCACCAAGGTCAACATCCCAAAGTGGAGTTAAGTCTCCCTGGACAACTATATCATCGTCTAAAAAGACCACCTTGTCCAAGTTCGGGAAAAGCTATTCCAAAGACGAAATTGGCAAATTATTTAGAATTCCCATGGTTTCTATTGCATGTTCAAACAAGGGGATAAAAGATTTACCTCTGGTATATATATTCTAAGATGGTTGAGCAAAGATATGTATTTTGGACTTCTAGACTGCAATTTCGAAGCAAATGTTCGAGGGGTTGTTTCTGTGAGGTTTGCCCCAGCGACATGATTCCCATGATAATAGTTCCTGACACCATTATGGCTTTCCACAGCTTCCAAAACAGGAACATTCTCTCTCGTCAACCAGTCAAACTGATGAACACCTTTAACCTCAACAATAGCTGGTGCAACAGAATTAAGCGCAAACCATGAATGCATACCCGCATATGTTTTCTTGTCTGTGATGATGTGAAAAACAATTTTCTCGGGTTTTGAAGATGACTGAACAGCGGATGAGACCACAACTGAGGCAGCCAAAATATTGTCCGTGGACAGAATAAAATGGTGGTAAGCATTATCTGAAAGAACAGGGAGAAACTCTGGCGAAGGAAGCTGTCTACGAGCATGAGCATTCGAGGAATATTCATCTGTCAGCCTTAGAGAGAGACAATGAATGCCTTTGGGAATGGAACTTGCTGCAAAGTGCTTGTTCATAAGTTCTGCAAATTTCGATTCCCTCATATCCCGTTCAAACTTATCTATCTGTTCAAGACAAGATAGAAACATATCACATATGATAATCTTCTCATTGAGATGGCTCACTTTAGAGAGCAACAAGAATTAACAATAGTATATCTCTTCCAAATGCAAAAAAAAAGGAAGCCAACTTGACAATTTCAAGAGCCACAGATAAATTTATTCTTCATGTCCTTTTGATGCAAGTATATATTATGTAGGATGAAAGATAATTTCAAATTAAACAAAGCGTACCATGGCTCGCAGCACAAGAGCAAATGTTTTTGCATCATAGTGGTTATTCTTCATATCTGAAACAAGTTGACTAAAAGAATTTGGAAGCTTCAAACCATCTGGAATTTCTTGAGTGCTTACTTCGTTTAGAATTTTATAAAAGTCTCTAGCTAGTCTCTGCAGCAAGAGAAACATGAGAAAAAAACAAAAACATATCATTTCAAAATATGAAAAGATACTGAAAATTAGCCGACGAAAGAAACCACTCACCTCTGAATCATCTACCCTACCAAGAAGACGTGGACCTATCCGCCTCCCTAAACAATCTGAAAGTAAGAAGAAAAGGAGAATGAAACTTTAATGAGAGGGTCACAAGAGCACTTTGGAGATACATAGAAGCTGATCATTCAATAGAAATTAACACCGATCTTGAATGGAAAACCTCAACAAATGAACAGACTAAACCATATAAAAGTATTGAACCTAGATATCCTCAAACAGCATGTAGATACATGTAAAGGGAAAAATACCCTAAGAGACATTCAATTTGGTTCAAATCTAGTAATGCAGAGAAATCTGTACTTCATACTCCACACAAACAAAAAAAAGGAATTCTACAAAATTTGCCATTCAGCTCCACAATCCAACAAAATGCATTAATAGGGAAAAGTGAGAAATAGATTGTGAAAATTATATGTACACCTAACAATTAAGGTAGTACAGCTCTATGAAAACCAAGATCTTACAAAATCATTAGTGGGGACCTAAACAAGAAGAATCCAAAATCAAACAAACTTTGTTGACTTAAGCCAATCCAAGTACAATCCTAAGCATCACAAATGCATTCAACAAAACTAACAAGATGTTTGTGACAAGGAACACTAAAGATGAAAACTTTCTATCTTGCCTTGAAAAAAAAAGACAATCCACAACAGAGAATCCTATAATTAGGCAACAGAAAAGTGGAGATCCGAAGTTGATAAGATGAAGAAGAGAAGAAAAAGAGATTACCAATGGAGGAGCATTTGTTGACACCTTCGAGGGTAACAAGAGCGGTGAGGATGAAGACAAAAGGCAACAAGAAAGCGAGGATTAAGATGGTGTGGAAGAGAGTTCGGTAAGAGATGTGACGAGCTGCGACCTTGATCTTCATCAAGTCAATAAACTCATTGCTGCTCGAAATCGTGATGCTTCTCATGCTCGGCGATATGTGAAGCTGCATCCTCCTTGGTAGTGCAGCCCCACCACAGTGAAAACAGAAACCGATTCCAAAAAAACCCTAATTCCTGAAAACAACAACAATCCCAAACCCAACATCAGATCCGATCAGATTCCGCTTCTCCGATCCCGATTTCCTCCCGATTCTCGATCTCAATTCCGTCTCTGTTTCGTTCCTTGACGCTATTCTTCTTCCTTGGGGTCTTCTCCCAGACCGCATTTGGATTTCAGACCGCCAATGGGAAATTTGAGATTCCCGCCTTACTCCTCTGGGAGATTGTTGCTTCAAACAATTCAATACGAGAATCCAAATGGGTTTGCCTCAAATTCACGTCTTGAGCAGAGATATTCAAAGAGTCTTCCTCACAGATCAAGATTCAAAATCAAAGAGCTGATGAAGAAGAAGAAGAAACAAATGAGAGGAATAACAACGAGCTTTTTGTTCTCAGTGATTTTGCCGGTGGATCTAAACAAAAATAATAATAAAACTAAGAAAAAAATAATAATTAATTTGAAGATCTAAAATTATAATGAAATAATTAAATAAATTGGTGTCTTGACCTTGAGTTTAGGGCTTGTTTTATAGAGAGCTAATTATACATTGTCTCCACCTATTTTCATGGCTAAGCAAGAGTTTTGCTTTTTCATCTTTCCTCTTAAATGATTGATATAAACTAATTTTAATCAAAAATAATAATTAAAATTGACAATTAAACTGATAAAATAAATAAATAATATGTTCTGTTCAAGTTAATTAGACAATGACCCCCTCTTCCTAACGTCATAGTAGTGTTTTATATAATAAAATAGAAAAATTAATTGTAATTTGTACAACTAGACCATCTAATCTAAACTGATTAATTAGAAGTTTAAATGATGATATTTTATTTCATTAGTTTGGCCAAAATCAAAACGTTGTAATAGTTTTGAAAGTTAGACAGACGTCTAATATATGATCCACATTAGAACACTAATATGAAAAGAAAATATATCCCATGTAAAAAAACTTTTTTCTAAAACTAATCATTAGACTAAAAGCGAAAACAAATTCAACATAGTAAATTTACGTCGTCCACATAACATAATGACGTGAATTACAAGTGATTTGATTTTGTACGCTAGCTCAACAATTTAATGTGCTCAAGAGAGAGCAATTCGATGATATTTTCGCACCTTTTTCTTGAAAAAATGGTAGATCAATATCTCATAATAATATAAAATGAATAAAATATAGTCTTAGCTGGTAGGTCCAATTTCACCATAGGGATTTTTTTTCAGAATTAATTATACCGTACAATTCTTCTCTTCGTCGTTTTCGTTTAAAAGAAAAAAAAAGTAGTTGTTTTGGTCAGGAAAAGTAGTTACTTAATTTCATTTACATGCTCAAAAGTTTTGTTGAAATACCATCGACCGACCGACACATTCCATTGTGACTTTTCAAATTAACAAAAATTGACTCGAACCGGAATCAAACCCGAGTTAATAAATAATCTCAAAGGAACAAAAAAGATGCAATTGAGAGGAAAAGTTGCTAATCCAACAACTTCAGAAAAAAACAGAGCAAAAAGTCTCAAATTTGACTATCAAATTATGTACAACTTTCGATTCAGAAACTGAAGACATTTCTAGAAACTAGGAAGTAAAACAAAAATATCATTCTCTTATTACACCAACTAATGGTTTTTGTCATCTAAAATAACAGAGCTAAAAAGTCTCCAAGTTGACTACCAAAATCCTATTCGAGAAACAGAGTTTTAGTAAAACTTGTTATCCTCTGTTTGAAGTTGTTGTCTCTTGCCGTGAGACTTCATGTGACCACCTAAAGCATGAACCGAGCTGAAATTCCCTGAAAGGATGCTACACTTGTGTTTCTTCTTCTCTTCGTCACTGAGCATCTCATAGATTCATCCTCAGGTTCTACTAATTCCTCTGTGAAATTCTTCTTGTTCTTACATTTGCTCATCCTATGAATCGTCTGATGACCTCCTAGAGCTTGATAAGACGATAATATCTTGTTGCACAACCTGCATTGATGCTCAACGTTCTTCTTATCAGATTCTGTGATCATCTCAGTATCTGAATCAGAACACTCCATAGCTCCTACTCCAAGCTCAGTTCTGTAATACCCAGTTTCAAAGTCACCAGCTTTTCGCAGTTTCCGTTGCTTCAATTCAATCTTTGTTCCCAAGAAACTCGCTGGTTCTTTCCATGTCCCTTCCATCAGTTTTTGCTCATTACTCAAAAACTCAGAACCAAATTCACCTCCATTTCGCAGCTTCTGCTGATCCAAAACACACTTGTATCCCAAGAAACTTGCTGGACCTTTGAATGTAACAGGAGTAGTAATCTCTTCTTTTAGCATTCTTTGCTCATTACTCAAAAACCCAGATCCAAATTCACCAGCTTTTCTTCGTTTCTGCTGATCCAATCTGTTATCTCTCAAGAAGCTAGCTGGTTCTTTCGATGTTCCATAACTACTAAACCCTTCTTCCATAAATCTGTGCTCATTACTGAAAACCCCATATTCAAATTCACCACCTTTTCGCGGTTTCTTGTTACGCAAACAACCCAAATCATAGCTACTTTTAGGTGTTTCATGAGTAGTAACATGTACTGCCTCAGCAAGAAGTTTCAGTCCGTCTACAAACTTGGGAGTACTCTCAGACAATAGAATCAAACAATCCGCCACTTCTAATTCTTCATCATTCGCAGCAAAAACAGAACGCGGTTCATGAAACGTAGTAAACGAACAAGAAAATGAAGTCTTCTTATACCTAACATGTCTCGATCTTTTCTTCTTCCTCACAAAACTGAGGCTACGACACAGACTCATCACGGATTCTTCATAAACCTTCTGGTTCGTCGATAAATGCATCATCGCTCGATGATTTGAAAAACATTTCTCGTACCGAAACCCTTTTCCACATTCTTCGCATCGAAACAAAATCTTCTTCATTGGTTCCGGAGACTCCTGGGTTTTCTTCTTCGGGTTTTCCCTTAGACCGTAGTAACAAGTAAAATCTCGCTGTTGGTTCGTCGATTCTTCTGTTTCTTTTCGTGACTGAGTGATCTTGAGGTTTCGCAGATCTCCATAGATGGGTTTATGGAGATCTTGATGTGCTTCTTCCATTTTAGGCGCGAAATACACGGGGTTTGTTGATAAAGAAGAAGTCAATGAAGGTAACGATGAGGTAGATGATGTAGAGGCAGAGAAGAAAGCAACAAACACAAGCCGGACTCATTATCAAAGAGATTATCAGATAATTTGAAGAAAGAGTAGGATTATGCTCTGTTTCTCGTCACTTTCCCGAGAAAAAACTGAGAGTGAAAGCGTCGGAGAAACAGAGAAGCTTGAGAAAGAAAAAGGTAGAAGCTTGAGACTATCGACTCAAACGAAAGAATACAAATCTTTTGAGTTTCTGTGACTTTTCGGGAGATCAAGTATTCAAGTGAGCGAGAGGAATGGAGGAAACACCGAAACAGAGAAGCGGAGAATATATAAGCACTGAGCGAGTCATGAAAGGGGCATTTTAGTAAATCGCCAAGAAAAGAGGAGCGAAACTTTGGTTTCGGCAAGAGGGTTCCATGTGGCAAGCATCATGAGCCTCAACTAATTGTAAAAATAATTTAACAGAACATCTTTTGGTTAAATAATATTTATACCATTCAATATATCAGGTTATATGGGAAAATACTAACTGAAGTAGAAATCAACTAGGGAAAACTTTTATATTATGAAAATAATACTCGAAAAGCTTACAATATTTGATAACCCAAGGTACATAATTACCAACAAAAACCAAACCTAAAATCTCTGTTGGAATTCATAAAACGATGAAAAAAAAAAGCAACAATTATTGATCAAAACATAGTTAAAGATATATGGAAAAACTCATGAGAATTCGGAAAAAATGGAGAAATAAGCTAAGGAAGAGGTTTGGTTGTTGTTTAGGCAAGAGCAGGCATGTCCTTGAGCCACTGGTCCAATGGCTTACCAATGGAGTAAACAATAAACCCAATTTGCCTGAGTTTGTCAGCGTCGACCACGTTTCTACCGTCAAAAACAAAAGCCGGTTTCTGCATATTCTCAAAGATCCGCTGGAAATCGAGTTTCTTGAACTCGTCCCACTCGGTTAAAATGCAGATACCGTGGGCGTCTTTGGTTGCAGTGTATGCGTCCCAAGCGACTGAGACTTGTTTCACAGTGGTGGGGCTCATGGGCTGGAGATGAAGCGGGTGGTCCCAGTCGAATTTGTTCATGGTTAAGTCTCTTTGGATCTGGTCTTCAGTGACTTGTGGGTCGTAGATGCTGAGACGAGCTTTGTCACCTAACAGACCTTTGCAGACATCAATGGCTGGAGTCTCTCTTGTGTCTCCTGTGTCTTTCTTGAAAGCGAACCCGAGAACCGCAATCTTTTTGTTGGAGACTGTGTTGAACATTGAAGAGACAATGCGGTTAACAAATCGGGTTTTCTGGTAGTCGTTGATCTTGATGACTTGTTTCCAGTACTCAGCAACTTCGGGTAAGCCGTTGCACTCGCAAATGTAGACTAAGTTGAGAATATCTTTCTGGAAACAAGATCCTCCGAATCCCACACTTGAGTTCAAGAACTTGGGACCAATCCGAGAGTCTTTGCCCACAGCGTAAGAGACCTCTGAGACATTGGCGCCAGTTGCTTCACAGAGAGCAGACATTGCATTGACTGATGAGATTCTCTGGGCTAAGAAGGCGTTAGCTGCAAGCTTGGAAAGCTCGGCAGACCAGAGATTGGTGGTGAGGATTCTCTCTTCAGGGACCCATTGGGAATAAACGTCTTTCAAGGCTTTGACGGCTGCAAAGCCTTCAGGTGTTTCACGACCACCGATGAGGACACGGTCAGGCATGAAAAGGTCTTCAATAGCGGTTCCTTCAGCAAGGAACTCAGGGTTTGACAAAATCTGGAATTTGATTCCTTTGCTGTTGTGTGTAAGAATCTTCTCAATTGCCTCTGCGGTTTTGACAGGAACAGTTGATTTCTCAACAACAATCTTGTCAGAAACCGAAACATCGGCAATCATACGAGCAGCGCTCTCCCAGTAAGTCAAATCTGCAGCTTTGCCAGCTCCAAGACCACGGGTCTTGGTCGGGGTGTTGACAGACACAAAAACAATGTCAGCCTCTCTCACATGCTTCTCAACATCAGTGCTGAAGAAGAGATTCTTTCCACGGCACTGCTTAACCACATCATCGAGACCAGGCTCATAGATGGGAAGCTGATCGCTGTTCCAGGCATTGATCCTTGGCACAGAGATATCAACAACAGCTACTTCAACAGATGGACACTTTAGAGCAATGACCGCCATGGTTGGACCACCAACATATCCAGCTCCAATGCAGCAAATCTTCACCATTATGCTTGTAAACTGAAAAAAAGTTTAACGTCAAACTTCAAATCTCTCTGTAATCAATACCATAAGTGAGTGCACAAAAGTCCTTAAACTGTTGAATCAGAACTAAAGATAACGAATTTGTGTATCTAGCTGCACCGTAGAAGGAGAATTTTAACTCAACAAATCAGATCCAACAATTCAAGCATTGTAAAGAACAAATTGATAAGCAAAATAAAGTTAAAAGCATTCAAAAGGAGAATCCACAATAAGCAAAAACTAAACTTCGACAGATGCAATTTTCAAAAACTCAGATCCAGTTTCGTGAGAATTAAAAGATACACACAGAATACGTTTACGTAAACATGAACCAAATTTTAGGTGAAGCTACCAATTCAGAGATCATATACTCATAATCATGCTTAACAATGAGCCGTTTAAATCCGAAATTCAACGAAAAATACACACATAGAGCGAGAAATTCAAATCAAAATCTCAGATCTGGTACATGCAAAAGAACCCAGTTCAGGAATTGGGAATAACGTAAAATGAGAAATGAAATTACGTGAAATTTCCGCGGATCACCGACACAGATCGAACCTGAATGCACAAAAAATCTTGAATCTCACAGAATTATCATGAAACAAAATCATTCAAAAGCAAATCTATGTGAAAATTAAACTATAACCAAAACAGATCCAAATCGAAACAGGAGATAAAGCCGAGATCGGATCGCGAGTAAACACAAAATTGGATCGAGGAAACACGGATTATTGAAGAGAGAGAGAGCTAGAATTTGATGATACCTTTAAGTGGGAGCTATGTAGGCTCTGGTTCTAACACTGATCGAAGAAAATGGAGGTGAAATCGCTAAATCTGACGATGGAGAAGAAGAGCGGGGTGAGTATGGAGTTTATATAGGTCATGAGATTCCTAAAATGCCCTTGAAACCGTCAAAGAATAACGCGGTTTAAAAGTGTTTTGGTTACTTATTGATTGTTGTTGCTTAATTAAATTAAACAAAACACTTTCAGTTAAAAATTAAATGACATAGGTAGAAAAAACGATGGGCTCACAATATTTGGCAGGTTTATAAAGTCTTCAAGACACGTTAAACGTTTGACATATTTCCAAGGATTGGATTTCGACCAACATAAATACACTTTATCGAATATGCCAAAAAAAACAAAACAACTTTTTGTGTAAGTCAAAAAAATAAATTGTAGTGTGGAAACTAAATAAATTCATTTCTTGTCAGTCTATTTTTATTTTACTTATTAAAAAAAAAATTAACTACTCACAAATGACAAATCTCCATAGTATTCCCTCCGTTTTAGTTTAGTTATCATTTTGAGATTTAAATTTTGTTTTATAATAGTTGTCGTTTTAGGTTTTCAATGCAAATGTTTGGTGAAAATTCTAGTTTCATTTTTAATGTTTTAGCCAATAAGAAAATTTATAAAATATATTAGTAAGGGTAAAACAGAAAATTTAATGCTTTTCATAATTTGTGTGAGAAAACCTTAAACGACAACTAAAACAAAACAGATGGAGTATAAAAACTGAATTACCTTTTTATGTTTGTCGGCAGAATTTGTATCTCTTTACTCTTTAGCGTTTTTTTCCGAACTTTGCATATATATATATATATATATATATATATTAAATTTTCCGACTTTTCCACTTATAAAATTTTCTCTTGAAGTAATCGATGCTTCAAAACCAAAAAAAATAGCTACGTGTATATATTATATTATTGGCCTACCAAAAAATATTTTTTATATATAGAATTTTTTTTTTTAGACATATATTTAGAAATATTATTACCAACAAATTATATGATTTTAATAAGAGACATATTAATAAGGACAAAACACATAACGAAGTAATCTGCAAAACGTATTTGAGTACATATACGTCACTGTCCATTTCATAGTCTACGATTTACTTCCTAAAGTTTGGTGCTTAGTTTCAATATTCAATAATGTACATGTTAATCTATTATTATAAAACCAATTTATATGAGTAGTTAAGTGATTGTGTGGCGAAGTCTGCAGGACAAACTTCAGGCAAAAGACTAATTGCACTTTGCTTGAAAACTCAGTTACGCTTTTTGAAGTGCTTCTCAAGCTATATTTGCAAAAGTATATAAATAACTAATAAAAAGAAGAGTGTGGTTGAAATTATAATATTAAAGTTATATATATTTTTTAGAAAAAAATATAAATCCAAAACCAAATATTTTGAAACAAAAAAAATCGAATATAACCTGTTTCGTATACGTTGAACAGCAAAACAAATTGATTCATATACAACTCGGTTTGGTTTGCCATGTTACTTTAACTCAGTGAACATTAAAACCTCAAAATCATGATTTTTGTAGATTCAGTAATTATTTTACTAGTTTTACATTCGAATTAGAATGCGTCATACGACACCTTTCACTTTCTAGCAACGTATACTCTTGTCAATCATGTAGTCTTTTTATGCAAATAATATGCATCATACATGTATTTTTTTTTTGGGTAGGCTGAGGGAGAATCATACATGTATAGTAGAGTAAATATTATGCAAATAATAAATAGAGATTTCTTGTAAATCTGTTTATCTCGAGCAGAGATTTTAAACATTATAGAATAAAATACAAAAGCAACAATGAAATAACAAGAGGAAATTAAGATTACCTAAAAAAAAAAAAAAAAAATTAAGATTACCTAATCCCATACCGATTAGGCGCGAAACCTCTAGCTTGATCCAACGTAGTGAAACCTTCCCAAACCAATCCACTCTTGGGTCCACGCACCTTGGTTCTCTTAGACTGCACCCATTCCCAAAACCAAACTATCAATCCCCAAATTATAAGAACCACGATCGCACCCACACCTGCGATCGTGTACGCTCTTGCGTTCGGCTTGATCACATCTCCTGCAACAGAGTAAGCCAAGAGCAGAGGAACGAAGAGAGGGAAATACCAAAACACACTCTCTTGTCCTAAACTCAATAAACGTATCATCATCTCAATGGCAAAGTAGAAACCCGCACTGTTCCACAACCATAACCAGATAAAGTAGACTTCGTCCATAACCACAGAACCCGCTTTCGTACCGCTTGTTCCAGTTCCACCGTTTTGACCGCCCCCATCAGACACGCCTCCGGGAGGCTGGAGAACGGTCTGGTAAGTAGCTGTGACTATGAGAGTTGCGACCACTAAAAGAGCGTTTCTTCTTTCTTCAGAGATCCAAGAATAAAACCGAATCTTCTTAGTCCGTCTCGATTCTCTCCAAGAAAGCTTCGACGCGAGTAGATCCGATGTTGTCTTAATCTTAACCAGAGAAACCGAACGTTTTCCACCATGTCTCTTAACCATTCTCTCTGTCTCTCTGTTATTGTGTAATGCAGCAATGTCGATAACGGTTAAACCGGTCTTGTTCTCGATGTTGACGTTTATCTTTGAACTCTCTAACATCAATTTCATAGCTTGAAGATTGTTCTCGTACGCCGCCAGATGTAAAGGTGTGTTACCGTCTTTGTCTCTTCGGTTTATGACTCTTGTCTCAATCCACTCTGCATCTTTTTGACACAATCTTAGGATCCATCCCATGAGAACTTTAATAACGCTTAATCCTTCTCTTTGGTCGTAGTTATTCAAGGCGATGTGAAGAGCGTTTTCTCCGTTCACGTTTGCGTCCACAATGCTTTCCGGGCAAACCAAGAAGAATTCTGATATCAGATCAATCTTCTTTTTGCTTACTGCAACTAGCAACGGCGTCATACCTTTGTTTAGACAAGAAAAAATGAAGTTAGCGATCGACTCGGTTATCAATCCGGTTAAACCCGAGTTTAGGCCAGGGTTACCAATCTAGTTCTACCTAATGTTTAACCGGATCTAGACTGAAATTCAAACTACGTACTATTCAATGGACTACTAATTCTACTTCAATACTATCTTTAAGATTGAATTTACTAGATACATATTATAACACTAGTTCGGATAAATTAGTGCTAAAGATTTTGAAAAAGAGAAAAAAAATAACCAAGGGTACAACAAATAAGAGTACGTACCATGTCTCGCTTTAAAACGAACAAGGCTTGGATCAGCCTTAACTACTTCAAGTACTAACCAGAAGTGACTATGATCGACAGCGAGGTGTAATGGCGTAAGTCCGTCCGCGTTTAGTTTCCGAGCAAAAGATGGTTTCAAGTTCATCATTTCCATGGCAAACTCTGTTTTTCCAGCGACGGCTGCCACATGGAGAGGAGTATTAACGAAGGGCACGTCATCGATTTTGTCGAGAACGTATGGATCTTCATGAATTAGTTCGTATAGTAGATCAATGTTTCCAGATTTAGCAGCAGCTTCTAATGATCTTTGATCCATTAGCTAAGAGAGGAGAACGACGATGCGAGTTATTTTTGATGATTAAATATGATGATGAAACTTAATTGGCTACGAAATGATAACTAGTTTGTGAATCAAGGAAGAAGTTCCCAAAAAACGAAAGTGTGGAAAATTATGTGACGTGGCAGTATTCGTGGACAAGTCAGCATCTGATCATTTAATCCAACGGTTAATATTAGATAAAAGGAATTATTGTCTGAATATTTGATGTGACATGGAGTACAACGTGGATAAAAATTGGCTCTATCATTTATCTGATCCAACGGCTAGTATTACACGAAACAATTTTGCTGTCAAACTGCTGAAATTTTGATGTGACGTGGCATTAAACGTGGATTAAAATCAGCATTATCATTAACTAGATTATGTACCCGCGCGTTGCGCGGGATTTTAGTTTTAATTTTTTTATCAATGCGAATCTTTGAATATAAATCTAATCAATTGAATTTTAATTTTTTTTTTACTTTAATTTTTTTCCAATTTTACTTTATTCATGTGCATTATCTTTTCAAAGAAGTAAAAACATTCTCTCACTTTCTACTATAATTTTTCTCGTTATCCTCTGTGATATACTCATCGTCTCCCGACATCGACTCTTTTACACCTTATATTGACTCACATATAATATACTCAATTGTGAATTAGTTCTCAAGATATATTGTATATCTTTTCTACTTCCTATCTTTGAATACTCAATTCTATTTTAAAGGTTGCATGATCTTTTTATTAAAGTAACCAGAAAATCTTTTTATTAAAGTAATTATATTTCGGGTTCGGATCGGTGCCGATTTGGTTCCGGTTCTTACGGTTATAGAATTTAGTATCCATTCGGAAAATTTCAAATTTTCGGTTCGGTTTGGTTCTTTTTGCTCCGTTTCCGGTTCGTTACGTTCGGTTCGGTTAATTTGCCCAGGCCTTGTTACATTAAAATAAATCATAAGTTTCTTTTTCCTAACTCTAACCATTTAAAAATATTCACTCATTATATGTTAAGACATGATTATCTAACTTTCTATTTCTCTAATCTCAATTCAAAAGTTTTATATGTTGTGTTGTATATCTATTTTTTCGTTTTTTCATATTTAATTAATTTTTTGTAAGTTATTGATTTTTAATGAAAAGTAATAATTTAAAATGTGTGAGTTAATTTAGTTTTAGTTTTTGTTTTAATAAATAACATATGTGGAGCCCACAAAAATAATAAAATGTGATGACATGGATGATGATGTGGACACCTTAGATGGAGAGACAACTCTCTCATTATATATATAGATTTGATGATCTAACGGACAAGATTAGGAAAATAATTATTTATTAGTAATCTAAGTTTATTTATTTTATTAAAAAAGCACCAAAAATAGCCGTTATTAGAGAGCGTCCAAAGAGCGCCGCAACGGTCACATTTTTTCCCCAAATCTATCTTCTTCTTCGACTCCTTCTTATTCAATTTCAACACTCCATAGCAAGAAAAAAACCCTAATTCTTCATCTCCGGTCAATTATTGCTCGTCTTCGTGTTGTTCTTTTGATTCCAGATTCTGTTCTTATCTTCGATGGAGTCGTTGACTTTGAAGAATGGGAAACCAGGAACTCCGGTGAAGGATCGGAGCAAGTTTCAGTCCAAGGTTCAAGAGAATTCCAGGTCGTTGGAGAATTCAAACCCTAACATTTCACACGCGAGTCCGGCTAAATCTCCGCTCACGAAATCTGTGAAGAAATCGGCACAGAAGAATCAGAGTCCGAACCCTAAAAACCCTATCCAGGCGGTTTTCTCTCCCCGGAATCGGATCAGAGAGAGGAAGTTTGTTGTGGTGGCGAAGAAGAATTCGAGGAAAGGGAAGAAGGATCCAGCGGTTACAGAATCAAAGGTTGCTGAGATAGATTGCAAATGCGGGGAGAGAAAGAAGGGGAACATGAAGTGTGTTTGTGTTGCATATGAAACTCTGCGTGCTTCACAAGAGGAGTTCTTCAAAAATCGAATTGAATCGGAGGAGGAAAAGGGAGATTTGGAGGAATATTGTAATCTCGGAGAAAATGTTGGAGATGGAGGAGGATCCGAGGAACCGGAGAAAATTGGCGCTTCTACAATGAAGAGGTCAAGGGCTAAGGTGGTGGAAGAAGCACGGCAAAGTGTTGCTGTATCTGGTAAAGTGATGAATCTTGTAGAAGCTTTTGAGAAACTCACTTGCTTTAGTAATTCAAAGACTGCCAACAAGAAAGAAGAGATTAATCAAACCGAAGAGGATACGAAGAAGCCGGTGAAGTGGGAATTGCCTGGATTGAGAGAGGAACCTAAGTTCATGGAGGGAGAGAAAGAGCAAAATCCATGGAGTTCTTCGTTTTGTCCATCTGAATTGGTCTTAACAGCTAAGAATCTGGGGTTAGACCCCAATGCTTCCATTTCTTCGTCATGGGACAGCACCCGCGGCAGGTTAGTTTGGTGTTGACTAAGAGATCTTTCTCTTCAATTATGAACTTGTCTTGTTCTGAATACTTTGATCTTGTGATGTTTCAGTGTTTTGAGTGGAAGTTCAAATGCTGGCAGGAGAAGCAGAAGAAATGTAAGTGTCTTGGCAGCATCTCATTTTTCTTAGCTGTTTAATGATTATCTGTCTTGCTTAGTATGTCAATAAAGTTTAATAATCAGTTTGATATTTCTGTTTATGGCAGAGCTTGGACTCATCGACTACAATGGGAAGTAGAAGATCAAAGAAGAAGCAGGTTAAGGTCACTTCACTGAAGCCGTTTAAGCTTAGAACTGAGGTATGAGTTTTTAGATGAATAAAACATATATAGTTTTCCGATTTCATGGTAGAAATCGAGAAATCGAGTCCTGACTGTTGGTTGGTCTTTTGTTTCTTTGCAGCAAAGAGGTAAAATGAAAGAGGAAGAGTTTGCAAAAAAGATTCATGAAATAACGTTGGAGGAAGAAAAGATGAGAATCCCCATTGCTCAAGGTCTTCCATGGACAACTGATGAACCTGAGGTAAGCAAGCAGGCTTTGCTTGGTAACTTGCAGGATTTTAGAGGCCAAACTAGAACTATTGTTATGAATCTTCCCTCCCAGAGAATTCAATTTTAAGTTTGAAATGAAAGATGATGATGTCTTGTTAAATATGAAGAGGCTTGCATATGGTCATGTTAGCATCTAATGTTGTTTCTGTTTCAGTGTCTAGTTAAGCCTCATTGGAAAGATATAACAAGACCAGTCGACTTGACGCTTCACTCAGATGTCCGGGCAGTTGAACGCGCAGAATTTGATTACCAGGTAACCTTGATAATGCAATGATTTAATCTACATTTTGTTGGGTTTGAAGTCCACATCGTAAAGAGTTGTGCCCACACTTTTTCAAGATACCTTAAAATATAGCCGCTGGAATGATTTGGCTTCAGTACGTAGTTGATACTGTCGAATCATTTAGAGCATTGTTCCAATAAATTTCTCCATGTTAAAGTGTGAATTTGTTGTTCTAGGTTGCGGAGAAGATGAACTTCATTGAGCAATACAAAATGGAAAGAGAAAGACAACAGAAGGTAAATTTTTATATGAGATTTTGTGGCCATATCCAATAATAGTCTTGCTTCAATTGATTTTGATATCCAACATTTTTTGTAGTTGGCAGAGGAAGAAGAGATAAGAAGGCTGAGGAAAGAATTGGTCCCAAAAGCACAACCAATGCCATACTTTGATCGACCATTCATTCCAAGAAGGTAAAAGACTGGTACATAAATACTATCCTCTTGAATCTTGATATCTCCTTGAGTCCTTTCTTATTATATACATCAGACGATTTTAGGCTACCTTATCTGTATGAATCTCTCTATGAGACCATGATAGGTAATATAGAGATCGTTTTCAAATGGTAAATATGTTTGCAGCCATATAGTTTTCACAGACCAACTAATAGAGTGAACCTTCTTATAACAATGAACTTATTTGCAAAAGCTGATACAATTGCTTATTGTTGTTTTCTTTTACCATTAAAAGGTCGAGCAAACATCCAACTGCACCACGAGATCCCAAGTTCCACATACCGCAGCACAAGAAGATCAGATGCTGCAGTTCATCTTCTTGGAGTGAAACTGGCTCCTGCATGAGCGATTTCCAATATCAGTTTCTCTAAAAAGCTTCTTTTGGGTTTACAACTATATCATCCCTGTCCATATTCTCATTTTGAAAACTACATTACCTTCTGTAAGCGATTCAATGAAGCAACCAATTAGTTGCAGTTTCATAGATTTGACAATCATTCGTGTTCCACCTTTGTAATAATCTGGTCTACACCTAAAAATGAGAAAGTTTCCACATTTGTTTGCAAAATCTGTTTTGTTCTGGTTCAGAAAGATATATAATACATATCCTCCTGTTTGAATTTGGATTTATCAGATGATTCACAGTACTATTCATCTGTGTACTTTGGTTTAGTTCTGGTCAAGAAAGATACGACAATCATCTTCCAGTTCAAATTTGGATATACCTGACATATTAGAAGAGTTTCATAGTGCTCTTGGAGTAAACTATTTTTTGAGATTTCTATGAAGAAGAGTAAACTTGGATACAAAATCACTGTAAAGAACAAAACTTTAACAGCTTCAATATCAAATTAGTTCGTCAAAATGATCACAACAGAAGAGAGTAAAGATCTAAAATCACGAAACCCAAAAAAGCTCTGTAACATTCTTGAGGCTCCCCCAAAGCAAGCATAAGGAGAACAACAGCTCTTCATGATTCAGCAGCAATACGCCCAGCGACCTGATCCAAATCCCGTTGACCGCTTGAAGTGATTCTTCTTCCCCTGAGACAAAGAATGAACAAAGGAGAGAGAGATGAGAGTAAGTCATTTACAAGGTCTTCCAACGAAAAGTGCATTTAGCAAGAAATAAGTATTACCCTTTAGTGTCTAGCTCGACAATGCTCATTGTCTCCAACTGTTGGAGAATATGGCGAGCAATACCACCACTGCTCTTACAGAAATGTGGTGGTCGACTTCCATTTCTTTTGCTACCTCCATAGATTCTTCTGAAAGCACCAACACCAAGACCTCCTCTCAAGTAAATCTTCCTGGCCATAGAAGCTGCACCAAACAAGAGATCAACAACCTATACAACGACTCTATAAAACAGTACAAGAACCAAAAATAAACGAAGAGAAAGATAAGCTTTTTTACCAGCTCTAATATAGTACCAATCAGGGTCGTATGGAGCAAGCTCCTTCAAACGACCAGTCTTCACAATGTCTGTCCATAGAGGAAGCTCGATCTACATCAGACAAAAGAAACAACTGTTATTACAATGAATTTCCAATTAGCTGTCTATGATCACTCATAACTGACCCAAAGAATGATCATTTCTGTCTATATCACATGAACGCATTGAGCTACAATATCAGAAAGCTCCCTCAAACTCTCAATTATTTCCTCTAAAACTCATTATCAAAGTCAAAAGAGAAGCACCAAGCCACTAACCTTTCCAGATCGCTTGAGGTGAGAAGCATAAGCCTTCACGAAATCGTGAGGAGAAACATCTTTAACGGTTTTACCAGTCGCCATTGCACAGGAAATGAAGAACTCACCTGAATCACTCCGTTTCTTCGCAAAGCCAAAAGCTTTCAATCGTCAGTTAGAAAGTGTATATATATCTGAGCAATCAATTTTCAATTAGGGTTTTTTCGGACCGGGTCTAATTCTAATCACATTGAACCCGAATCGACACGACCCGTATAATGGGCCCAATAAATCTTTTTAAGCGGCTTAAACGCATCGTTTCACTAAAAAGGAAATACGCCGCCGTTTTCAATAGCTGCTTCTTACTTGTTAGTTCATATCCCTAGAAGAGCTTGAGAAGGCTAAATCAGCCACGGCGATGAAGCAGTTACTGACCTTGGCGCGACGGTCACAGATACGTTTATGTCTCAATCAAGCGATACGATTAGCCTCATCAGCCGTCGCATACGTATCTCCGTTCACAACTCCGGCGACTCTTTCCCCTCCGCCGCCGCATGTTCTGCCTTACGACAACGCGGCGGAGATTGTGAATTCGAAACTGAAGAAGCTTGAGAATCCGGATTCTAGATTCCTCAAATACGCATCTCCACAACCGAAACTTGCCTCGCACGATCATATCTTGTCTGCTCCGGAGACTCGCGTTACCACTTTACCCAATGGACTTCGTGTCGCCACTGAGTCTAACCTCTCAGCTAAAACTGCAACCGTCGGTGTCTGGATTGACGCCGGATCGCGTTTTGAGTCGGATTCGACAAACGGTACGGCACATTTTCTGGAGCATATGCTATTCAAAGGCACGGAGAGGCGTAGCAGGAGAGAATTGGAGGAAGAAATCGAGAACATTGGAGGTCAATTAAACGCGTATACGTCGAGAGAACATATCACATTGTACGCTAAGGTGTTGGATACGAATGTGAACCAGGCGTTGGATATATTAGCTGATGTATTTCAGAATTCTGAGTTTAGGGAAGCAAGAATCAACGAAGAACGAAACGTGATCTTGAGGGAAATGCAGGAGGTAATCAGTAATCTATTGTTGCATCTCGATGGTTTACTTGCTCGAAACACTTGCATTTCTTTTCAATAGCGATGAATCACACGAAGATTGTGTTTTTTTTTTTTTTTATCGTGTTGAAAGGTTGAGGGAGAAATACAGGAAGTTGTGCTTGACCATTTGCATGCAACTGCCTTCCAACACACACCTCTGGGAAGAACTATATTGGGACCTGCTGAAAATATCAAATCAATCACCAGGGATGATCTTCAGAACTTTATAAAGAACCACTTTACAGCTCCCAGAACGGTAATGTTTGAAAACTATACAATTTTATGTTTTGCAATCACTTGTGGTTTACTTTTCCCTTATTGATTCATAAAGAGTACGTCTTTCAGGTTATTGCTGCTGCAGGAGCTGTCAAACACGAGGAATTTGTTGAGAAAGTGAAGGAATCATTTACGAATTTGTCCTCTGATTCAACATCAACTTCTCAGTTGGTCGTCGAGGAACCTGCTAAGTTTACAGGCTCTGAGGTATAGATATAACGAATATTATTGATTTCTTTGTATTAAATTACTTTAAATTTGTTTCTTTTGAAATTTTTGTCAGGTTCGTATGATTAATGATGACCTACCTCTGGCACAATTCGCCATTGCGTTTGAGGGAGCATCTTGGACAGATCCGGATTCTGTTGCTCTTATGGTTATGCAAACTATGCTGGGATCATGGAATAAAAGTGTTGGTGGGGGCAAACACATGGGGTGAGAATTTGCTTCTGATTAATATAGCTTGCTGTTGATTTCAGTTAATGTTTCCTGGATATGATGTGATCAATATTATGTATCTGAGCAGCTCTGAGCTGGCCCAGAAGGTTGCCATTAGTGAAATAGCTGAAAGCATTATGACATTCAACACCAACTATAAGGATACTGGTCTTTTTGGCATTTATGCTGTTGCTAAGGTGAACTTGGAATTCCATATCTATCCTCTAGCATAGTAGCATCTCTTACTTAACTGAACATTTTTTCCTAACAGAAATTTTTTGATTCTATGATGTTGGGAGTACATGTCTTTTTACCTTTTTGGGTACATTTTCAGCCTGATTGCTTGGATGATCTAGCACATGCCATTACGTATGCGGTAACCAAGCTAGCTTACCAGGTCTCAGAAGATGATGTGACACGGGCACGGAATCAGGTAAAAGACCCATCTTCTCAAATCTTTGTGGGTGTGGCCGAAGTCCTATGAGTCTTCGATTTTGGAGCTTCTAAACGGAAAAACAGTACTTTAGCTTTTGGGATCCGGTTGTGGTTCTAGTTCTTATACCCAATCATAAACACGAGATCTAGTCATATTTGACTCCAAAAACACTAACCATGCTTCTTATTGCTTCTCAAATCTTTGTGGGTGTGGCCGAAGTCCTATGAGTCTTCAGTTTTGGAGCTTCTAAACAGAAAAACAATACTTTAGCTTTTGGGATCCGGTTGTGGTTCTAGTTCTTATATCCAATCATAAACACGAGATCTAGTCATATTTGACTCCAAAAACACTAACCAAGCTTCTTATTGCTTCTCAAATCTTTGTGGGTGTGGCCGAAGTCCTATGAGTCTTCGGTTTTGGAGCTTCTAAACGGAAAAACTGTACTTTAGCTTTTGGGATCCGGTTGCGGTTCTAGTTTTTATACCCAATCATAAACACGAGATCTAGTCATATTTGACTCCAAAAACACTAACCAAGCTTCTTATTGCTTCTCAAATCTTTGTGGGTGTGGCCGAAGTCCTATGAGTTTTCGGTTTTGGAGCTTCTAAACAGAAAAAAGCATTCTCTGGCTAATAGCCCATGTAATTGTTTACGTTTCTCTCTTTCATCAGTTTGTTGAAACTCATAAAGGGTGTTTATGGAAGTTCAATAGCAAGTACTGATTGTTAGTGTTCTTCCTCCTATTGCAGCTGAAGTCTTCTTTATTGCTTAACATGAATGGAACTACCCCAGTTGCTGAAGATATAGGTCGTCAGGTATGCCATCCATCTTGTTTGACGTATAATAATAGCCCGATCTTGTAAACCTCTTGATTAGAGCTTATGAAATAAGTTTATTGGTGGAAAGAGAATAAACCCCAGCTATCCTTAGAGTTTAAGGCTTCTTTGATCCCCAAAAGAAACCTTAGGTTCTTAGTCGAGTTCTGGAATACTAGGTATATCATTGTCAAATCTGATTAGGTATGCCCAACCACACAACCACACAACCACACAATTAATTGTGTTTTTACAGCTGCTGACATATGGTCGTAGAATCCCAACTGCTGAGTTATTTGCAAGGATCGATGCTGTTGATGCCAGCACAGTGAAATATGTTGCCAACAAATACATCTATGACAAGGTTAGTTATCTGCATCTTTTAAAGAGATCTTGCCTTCAGGGTTAGCTTCGGCTAAAAAAAGACAATGAAACCTGGACACTGATAATTTACATTGGGACTTTGTAGGACATGGCTATCTCAGCCATTGGTCCAATCCAAGAATTACCAGACTACAACTGGTTCAGACGCAGAACCTACTGGAACCGCTACTGAGCTGCCTCCCTTACCTGTCCCTGATTATTTTTCACACACCTTCTTCTCCTCTTCACACTCTTATTTATTATCTCTGAAACATTCATTCAAACAAGTATCACAGAATGCTCCTGCGTAAGCATCCCAAAGGGAAATTCCATGGGCATAGCAGAAGCAGGTAATGATAGATTACATCATGATTTCTCCAATCGGCTGGTAAATTAGGTGTAGTTTTTTTTTTATAGTTTAACTTGATAAGTGTAGTTTAGTCTTAATTAACATTTTTGGCTACTTATAGTTATAAAGATAAGATAGTTTTTTGACCAAAAGCCACAGACAACTTTAGCTGAGTAAAAAAACTCATTGTCTTGTCTTCAATTAAACCCTACCTATCTGCATTTACTGAAGTGACCAAGTATAAGATATGTTAAAGTTTAATGGATATTGTTGAGTTATAAATCTTGCAGACATTGTGACCAAAGATTGGATCAAAAGACTGTTGGATTCATGAAATGAATGCATAATAGATGGAAGCAACCGCTCAAAGACTGTTCCGGAGGTTCAAAGATTGTTCCGGAGATTAGACCAGTAACACATCAATGAGGGTATAGCTGAACACGCAACACACGTATCTATATTGGTATATAATACTAGAACAATAAGTCATAGAAACACTGAGGCACAATGACATGACACGATTGAACTGAAAAGAAGACAAAATGAGCGTTGTCTAACAAAACAGTTGACAGGTTTGGTGAAGTTAGTTAATAAAAGAGTTGGGTTTCTTCGTAAGCATCGAAATCAGATTCCTTTACCAAAAAAAAAAAGAAAAAGAAAAAAGACATATCACTCTCTCTAACTCTCATCTCTCTCTCCTTCCTACTTCCTCGGTTTCATCGTCCACTGCATTTCATCTGTCTCAACAATGGCGTCATTGTCGGTACCTTGCGCCAAGATCTGTGCCCTGAACAGGCGGGTCGGATCTCTTCCTGGAATCTCGACTCAACGATTGCAGCCGCAACCCAATGGCATCTCCTTTCCCTCCCATGTTTCTCAGGTTTCTTCTCTCTCTGTGTCTCTCGCATATGAATGATCCTGTAAACAAGTGTGACCCTTTACGAAAATATTGGCCTTTGTCTGTGTGTGTTGGGTAATTATGGAACTTACTTTACAATGGTGATCGAGCTGCTGACTGTTTGAATTTAGTATACATTGCTTCATATTTCTCTCTTTTATTCGTCTTCTACAGAATCAGTCTACATTCTGGAGGTTGCGTGCAACAACCAATGAGGTAGAGCTTGCATGTATTTTTTTTTTACCAACAATGTTTCCACACAATTAAACGTTAATAGTACGATTGTAACCTTCTTCATCTATTTCGACTTTACCAAGGTTGTTTCTAACTCTACTCCAATGACTAATGGTGGGTATATGAACGGAAAAGTGAAAACCAATGATCCCGAACCCGCCGAGCTCTCTGAATTTATGGCTAAAGTCTCAGGTCTTCTTAAGTAAGTCCAAAATCCAATGAATCCCTTACTATCCTTTAGTTTAGTTTCTTTCGATCAAAGCACTAAACATTTTGATCTTATTAAGGCTTGTGGATTCAAAAGACATAGTGGAACTTGAACTGAAGCAACTCGACTGTGAGATCGTTATTCGAAAGAAGGAAGCTTTACAGCAAGCTGTACCACCAGCTCCAGTTTATCACTCGATGCCTCCTCCTTTAATGACAGACCTTTCAATGCCTCCAGCTCAACCAGTGGCTCCTCCTCCTCCTTCTCCTACTCCTTCCTCAACCCCTGCAACAGCAAAACCAACAACCGCCCCATCCTCATCTCATCCTCCACTCAAGAGTCCTATGGCTGGTACTTTCTACAGATCTCCTGGACCTGGTGAACCACCTTTTGTCAAGGTACTACAACAAAATGCACAAATAAAACCTAACAAATCTTTGGTTGTTGGATGAAGTCGAATCAAAGTTTTGATAGTTCTCTATCGATAAATCATCCAGTGAAAAGTCACTACATTTTAAGTTCATGTGGGTTCTTTTGTTTGTTTGCACTTTGCAGGTTGGAGACAAGGTGCAGAAAGGTCAAGTTGTTTGCATTATCGAAGCTATGAAACTGATGAACGAGATTGAGGTCTGATATTCTCTATAACATTACGATAGCGTGCAATCGAACTTTGCGAATTTGATGATCCTTTCAATATATATGTATTTATATATGTTTGTGTGATCAATTATCAATTATTTGCGAGCTCTCAAAGTCTTTAACCTAAGAAATGGTGTCTTGAAAATAGGCTGAGAAGTCAGGAACCATCACTGAATTACTGGCTGAAGATGGAAAACCAGTTAGCATTGACACGGTATCGATCTCACAATCTCTCCCTCTCTGTTTTATTTCCGGTATCTTATTTGAACTGATTTTCAGATCAGTAACTTATGGTTACTTGTACTACAAACTATGCAGCCTCTGTTTGTCATCCTACCTTAAATCGAAGAAGTATCCTTTGAGCTGTTTTGAAACATCTTCAAAGTCTCGGTTTAGCTATACCGACGTGCTGAAAATCATCAAGTAAATTGTTCAGCTCAGGTTGGTTTGGTACTTTGGTTTGGTTTCGGGTTTCTACTCTTCCTTCACTAGCTGACTTTTTATTTTGAGATTTCACGTATCGGTATTATGCATGTCTTTTTAGAATAAATTTGACAAAACGTCATAGTTTGGTGTATCAACTATGTTTAGATCAAGAAATGTGGTTTCTTTTTTTAATATATATCAACAAATGTGTTGTTCGGATAATAATTTTATAGAAAAATAATCTAAAATTGTTAACTTCACTACTACTAAACAAAGTTCATGTAATTATATATGAAAACTATATATATGCTAAATTTAAGTATAAAACCATATTTACAAACTAACGAGATAATAGCTGATAATTCTTGTTAATGTACTTTATAAGTTAGTATAAATTCAGGCAATTATTTCCAAATTAAGAAAAGAAATCTAACTTAACTTTGCAGTTAAAAATAATTTATAAGTGAAAAAAATTAGCTTACAACTAGACTGATAATTTTGAAAAATAACGACCAATTTCATTACTTTTGACCTGTTTTTTTATTTATTTTGTTCAAATTTTTTTACCAAGAAAGACAATTTTAGGCCGCGTTAGTGTATCTAGCCCATTAAAAGCCCGATTAATATGGGCTATACAACGGCTGACTAGTATCCCCGCGCGTTAACCCATATATGCATATACGAAAACCACTCGCACTCTAAGCGCGTTTAGCGCGTGTCGCCATATCTTCCAGGTTATAGACCACAGATTTACGCAGTTTTTGCCTATTTCCGAAAATTGAAAGGACAAAGGCGCGTGAAGGGTCTTTTGAGCTCATATTCTGTCGACAAGCTTGCACTATATTATACTGGGAAGTGGGAAATGGAAAATGTTCTAAGTTTTTTTGAAAAAAGGTTTAGGAACTGTTCTAAGTCTGTTCTAAGTTTCAAACCTAAAATATTATTTTAAATGAACTAAGACATTAGAAATTTGGGAAGTCTACAAATTGTACAAGATGAGTAACGTTTATTATTTGGAAATAGTGTATTTCATCTTATATAATTTTTAGACTAGTTCCAAATTTCTAAAATTTGCACTGATCTTAATTATTTTAAATTAGCGTTTAGCTATTTTTTTTTCTTGATTGCCCTGCTTAGGATATGATCGCTTTGTTTAGAAAAAAAAAATGAAAAAAAATAATGTTGTTTGAACTATCCATTTTTAAAGTTTGATGACAAAATCATTGTGATCAAGAGAAAAGAATCGATGAATACACTAACCATTCTAGAAAAGGAAAAAAAAAACATAGGGCAGAGAAACTGATACTCAAGAGCATCATTTTACCAAAGGCGATCAAAACAGATAACCAAATATAATCATTTAAAAACAATGGGATCAAGAGAAAGAAAAAAAAAACAGAAACAAATACAATAAGAATAAGTATATCATCTAAAGATCAAATTGACCAAACTACACCTCCCTTCGATTTTTCTTTTCTTTCTAAACAAAAAGATTTTAACTTTTCAATTCGTTCGTGTCTTCCTAATTTAGTAAGAAATCGTACTGTACATTGGTTAAGAGCCTAAAAACAGCGGTTTTGATAATCTTTTAGTGCCGCTTTATGTACAGTAAGCTAATAACAGGAGCAAGTCGTTCCTTTACCTTCTGTTGCTACTTCTGGTGCTGTAATTCAGTCTCCGAGCAGCTCCTCTTCCTCCTCCTCCTCCTCCATGCCATCTGTCATCATCGTCGTCATCATCATCATCTTCGTTGTAGGCCACTGGTTTTTTAGCAGATCTTGAAGTTTTCCTTGGCGTTGGGCGTTTTCTCTTGACGTTTGTTGAATAGATGGTGAAGTCAACCGTATCTTCTCTCATTGCGTTCTTAAACTCCTGCAAAACAAAATAGAAGAAGAAAATGATGAATTCTTTGCCCAGGGATTTAAATTTTACTAGTGAACAAAAAGGCTTTGGGGTTTTGACCTGATATCTCTGAACTAAGTCTTGATATGTTGAAGGTAAGTCAGTGCGAGTTTCGCTGAGGTCAAAGGCAACGCTTTGTCTGGACAGAGGATCTCCTGGCTTCAATGGTTCCGTTGGAGAATAGGCCTGAGATATTTTGTTTCCAAAGGAAACACCAATCATGTTTTCGTGAACAAAGTTAACGAAAAAGAAAAAGAAGTGGAAAGAAAGAATCGTACTTGGCACCGGTCATCATTTAAGCTGTATGTGACTTTTAAGTATCTCTTGAGCTTCAAAAGAAGTTGTATAGCTATAGCTGCTAAGCAATCAACCTGAAATGGTACCAAAAGAAAGACTGGCATGAGAAGAACACGCTATATATAACAGTAACGATGATATAAAAAATGCTTAATTTTGATAAACCAACCATTTGTAATATACTACCAATCTGCCCTGACCTAACTCAAAAAGGCAAACACAATTCAATTATTGTAAGGTTTGTAGTTTTTCTATATACGGAGAACCAAAACTAATCTTACATAAAGGAAACACCAAACTGAAACATTGTTTTAAGAAAATTGAGTAATTTGATTAAAACCAAACCAAAACTGAACTGACCCGAATTTTACCAAAATGTACCAACCTCTAAAAGCAAGATTCAGTTTACATTAGTTATCTTCCTAGACCGAAAAAGTGAAAATTTGGAACAAAGAGAACCCCGATTTTCACACCCTAAGCATCACAAGAAAAAAAGTTAAGAAGACTACCTGAATTTTCTGCAGATCATCGGTGGATAATTCAGGAGGATCAGATGAGGTCATTTTGTGAACATCTGCTTTCCCATTATGGACTTGATATGAAGTGAACTGATCCCTTGAATCTTGGTATACTGCTCCATTGAGGTCAATTGGAGTTGGATGGGCATATGAATTCCAATGTGTTGGTTCTTCTTGGATTCTTGTGTTTAGATCCATCATGTGCATATGTCCAGGAATCGGACCTTGTTGGTATGTTCCATTTCCATGCTGAGTCTTTGCGGACTCTTTATGTAACAAAGCCTTCAAATTTGACTCAACTGCACCAGCCCGAATTTGCATAACTCGGTTTATGGAATATACAAGATAGAGTGGCTCATCAGGTGATGTGAATGGAAGTAAAGCAAGGGTTTCAGTGCAATACCTGTAAAGAGAAACAGTAAAGTTAGTGTTTATTTTACCACAGAGAGAATGTGAAATTTTTTGTAGAGCGAATACTCACTTCAGAAAGGATATTACTGAGCCACTCCAGGTTGGATTATCAAACTTGCGAACAATCGAAGTCATAAATTTGTTTCGAGAAACCCTGTTTCCACGGATAAGCTTGTAGATCCTAGAAACTCCAAGTCTAGCTTGTGTGAGAGTACTACTAGTATGATCATTTTTGCCCGACATGTTTGTTGAACCCTTTTGCTGAAGAATTTGATTTGGTTCTGAAGTGACCTGGCTGATGGATTGCATGAAGATAAACGACATTTGAAGTCCGTCACCGAGACGGCTCTCAAAAAAAGCCGGATACCTGATGAAAATTTCAAAGTCTGTTAGTGCGCTAATACATGATTACCGAATAATGTAAAATTTTGTGAAATCCAATCAGGGGATTTACTTCTCATGCATATTCATTAGTAAATGATGGGCCAGCTTTTGGTTGGCCTCTTGAGGATCTGTCTCGAGGGCAATCAAATAAGGGACACACGTAATAGGATGAACTAGGCCTTGACGTAGTACAACTTCCACTATCTGCGAAATAGAATACCTCTCAATAATTCAGAGAAGAGAAAATACAGAAGCAAAAATTATTATTGGAAAAAAAAGGCGAACCTTGAGAGCAGTCTGGCGAATTTGATCATCAAAGTCTAAGCATCTACCTAATATCTTATCCCAATACAACTGCACAATGCCTCCGCAAATGTTGGTGTCACCTGCACCAGCGGCCACAGGTACAGTATGGCCACCTTGCTCAATTGAGTTAACCACGTTATCACTGGCTTTCTCGGATCCCAATTGTTTTTCCGCATCAAGAAGGTATTCATACATGTTTTGTAATGCTTGCATCTGGATCATGAGCATTAAAAAAGGATGCAATCATATGTAAGCGTAAAACAAAACATGTACACCATATAAATAGAAAACGTACATAGATGGGTGATATTACCTTCATACGCCCATTTGCTTCATCTGCTAATGTAGTCTCGATTATCTTTCCAATGTCTTCTTCCAACATGTACTCAGGTCGTGCAATTAGGATGAATCCTAAAGCCTACAGGAAATTTGGGGACACCGTTATTCTAGCATATCGCAATATCGAGAATGTGAAACAGCTAGCACTGTAAGCACCATACCTGCAGCGACCTGACTTTCAAAGCAATATCTTCCGTTCGGAGATGTCGTTTAAACAAATTGAGACAGCTGGAGAGATTGAAATTCTTGCCACCTGAGGTGCTAATAAGAGAGTTTCCATGACGAATAAGCAAGCCAAGACAAAAAAGGGACCGCCCAGCAATCTGAAATAGACAGAATATTTTCACCATTAAGCTTCAAACTAATCCGATGCTGGATTCATCTTGTAAAGAATAACAATTCTCCCAACTTAGTCAGCACTAAGCCGAATGAGATATATGTGAATATTGAATATTACTCTCAGTAGGCAGTAAAATCGCAATGAAGAGCAGTGTTAGTAGAGAATACTGATCTTCTAAGTAAGAGGGAAATGGGAGTCACTTGTGTCTATTTCAAGTTAAACAAAATACAGTCCAACGAGTATAGGAACAAACACCAATTTAGGTAATGATGCAACCAAATTTACACTCACAAATGCAAGCCACAAAAGTGCAATATACCGCCGACCCACAGATACTCATACTCCACTTGTAAAATTATGTGCATGAAACAAGACTCCAAGACCTTAATTGTGCTTAAACATGAAAAAATCCTGATGCATGATCTTTTCAATGTAAACCCACCTGTGTGTTATCGGACCCTTGGGCCTCCAGCCGCTTAAAAAAGAACTGAAGAAGATGCTCAACTATGCTAACACCTT